CAATGGTTTTGACTTGTCCCGTTCTCTGTGTTTTTAACTGTCTCAGTCTTCAGTCAGGCAGGCTCGCTGTGACCGTAGCGCGCGCTCAGACTCTCTCTCTCTCCTGTCACTCAGAGCGATGCGCCTCGCGCTCTCTCTCTCTTTCGCGCCACTCCACCCCTTCATCTCCTCAGCGGAGTGACGGATTTTAACATAGATCACTTACGAACAAAACAACATCCATTTTTCAATAGGTTAACATCCATTTTTATAATAGTCATATATATTACGTTAAGCCATATATAAAATTATTTAAAATGTCGAAATATATATAGCCTATATTATGCGTATGCGTTTGTAAACCTAACAGTATATACGCGTGCGTTTGTGTTATTTATATATATTTAGGCCGATATGTGTGTGTGTGTTATGTAGGCCTATATGTAAATTAAAATATAACCATATTCTATGAACATTTCAGACTCTCTCTCTCTCCTGTCACTCAGAGCGATGCGCCTCGCGCTCTCTCTCTCTTTCGCGCCACTCCACCCCTTCATCTCCTCAGCGGAGTGACGGATTTTAACATAGATCACTTACGAACAAAACAACATCCATTTTTCAATAGGATATAGTCATATATATTACGTTAAGCCATATATAAAATTATTAAAAATGTCGAAATATATATAGCCTATATATGCGTATGCGTTTGTAAACCTAACAGTATATACGCGTGTGTTTGTGTTATTTATATATATTTAGGCCGATATGTGTGTGTGTGTTATGTAGGCCTATATGTACATTAAAATATAACCATATTCTATGAACATTCATTTTTATTAAATAAATAATTATAATAAAAACCCTACCAGCGAAGTTCAAACTTTAATGTGCACCTTCACCACATCTGGCAACTCTATACATTTAAAATAATAAATTTTCGCCAGGTATTACACTCCAAGCATTTTCTTTAGCGGGCGTCTTGGTGTTTGATCACTCACATACATAAACCATGTAACCTTGCATTTCTAAATAAACTTACCAGCCTGGTTATACATTGACAATGTATAATTTATGGAATGTTTACTTTTTCACTGAGACTTTGATTCATCTTTTGAATAATGGGATTCTGTGCAGCATCATCAGTGTTGTTTTTTGTGGTTTTGTCATATTAAATTTTAATGCATGGCATGCAGTTTGCTGTTAGGGCTTCCCTCTACTGCATGTGACTGTGAGGCAGTGTGCATGTCCTGAGCTATCAGTGCACTGAACTGTGAGTAGGATTGACTTTAGTAAATAAAATGTTTATGAAGCTGTCCTCCTGAGAGGAGGTTTGCGTAATGTACAGTAGGCTACATGTGTGTTCGTATGTTTATGAATGCAATGGTTCGCACAAGCCAAGGTGTCTGCAGGGTTCTGGAGTGTCAGACATTAAGGACATCTGTTCAGACATACACACGACGTCTCTCTCTCTCTGGTTTCACCCCCTCTCCCTGGTGGCAGGCTATTTCAGAAACACAGACTTCCGTTCCACACACTTGACCATCACCTTTTCTGTATACCCATGCTTGTTGTATTTGTATGACTAATAAATGGGTACAGTAAATACTTATTCCTTGTAAATACTTAGTTTTTATAGGGCTGTTGATTTGACATGCTAATTTGGTGAGATTAATTATGGAAAAAAGAATGCATTAAAATTATTTAACGCATTGAAGACAGCCCACCCTGGCCCAGACCGGTTTGTCATTCTTGTACATTGCAGACAGTTTTTAAAGAACATGATGCAGGACAAGCGACTGACTACATGAGGTATATTAGGATGCAGTTATATGCCCATAAAATTCAAGATGTGAGGGCAAAAAATGCACCTGTATGGGTTTTTTTAACTTATATTTATATCATATGATATACGTAGTTTAGCAATATCACACGAGCAAGTTTGCTGTTTATTTTTTTTTCTCAAATGTATATTGCAAAAGTGATATACAATAGTTCAACAAACAAGAAGTTAATCTTGTGTTTCATTGTAGGCACAGAATTGTCAATATTGTCTGTTTTGCTCATTTTCACCAATGAAAACCCATGTTTATTATATATGGAATGTTGAATCAAGTATTCCTTTCTAAACCTTGTTTGTTCACTGCTTTTCTTAACTAACACAATAATGACTTTAAATGATATTTTAGGGGGTAATTTATCAGCCAAAAATTGATATGATGTCATGTCATTAATTAGATGAAAAATTATAATCACTTGACAGCCGTATTAGCTTTTATAAGTACTTATACTTTTTATTCTTTTTACTTATTTTAAGCCATTAATAAAAAAAATTAAATAAAAAAACCCAAACAAATGTTTAGTCGTGTATAAACCCTTTTTTCAGGAAAAAAAGAAAAATGAGAGCTAGAACTTTTCTGTCAGCTCCTCTAATTAATGCATTTATTATAAAAAGCAAAAAACCCACTCTCAATTGTTCTCTGTCTTGTGTATTATGATGCAAACTCATGCTGTGCTGTTTTCTTGAAGAAAAAAAAAAAATTTTTTCTCTTTTGTTCTTTTCAGCTTTTCATTTAGTGTTTCCGTACCTGTGTTGTTGCACATTCTTGATCCCTCTGTACCTCCCAGCTTTTATCTCTCGCTTTCTCTGTCTGCCTCTCCTCCACGTCCGTCCCTCCTCTCACCCCCAACCTTCTGTTGAACTTTTTTTTGATTCTCAGCTATTCGTCCTTTTGTTTTTGTTTTTCTAATTCCTCTCTGTGATCCTAATCCGCCCGTAAACTCTCATCATTGGCGTATAATATTGCCTCTTGCTGTGTGCTTTGCTGTGTGAAGTCGAATTGACACTAAGAATCAGCACTGTATTTTTGTTTACAATCCCAACCTCGGTATTGATGTTCATGGACATTGTTTTCATCGCAGATCCATTTCATCCTGCCTGAAAGGAGTTGTTACAGTTCTGAATAAGAAGATTGCATTTTGTGAACACATTCCCGCATACAATCTCATCATGTCAATATGCCTCACAGAGTTGTGTGTGTGTGTGTGTGTGTGTGTGTGTGTGTGTGTGTGAACATCATCATCTCTATGGTACTACTGTCACCCTTCCCCTGGGTAAGACACTGCACACAGGGTTTAAGCAGATGGCAAATCATATTGCCTCTTGCTGTGTGCTTTGCTGTGTGAAGTCGAATTGACACTAAGAATCAGCACTGTATTTTTGTTTACAATCCCAACCTCGGTATTGATGTTCATGGACATTGTTTTCATCGCAGATCCATTTCATCCTGCCTGAAAGGAATTGTTACAGTTCTGAATAAGAAGATTGTATTTTGTGAACACATTCCCGCATACAATCTCATCATGTCAGTATGCCTCACAGAGTCGTGTGTGTGTGTGTGTGTGTGTGAACATCATCATCTCTATGGTACTACTGTCACCCTTCCCCTGGGTAAGACACTGCACACAGGGTTTAAGCAGATGGCAAATCTCTCTCCCTGGGGTATCATCAACTTACAGCCTTCGCTCATTCTCTCTCCCACTGTTTTGCTCTCTGTCCTTCCTCGTGCATATCTGATCCCTTTTTCTTCTCACTAGTAGTTTTTTTTCTCTGACAGACAGGAGAGAAAGGGACATCCACTTGCAAATGACATCTTTCCTGCTCCGTCTCTCCTGTCTCTATCTTCTCGTCTGTCTCCGTCTCTCCTCCTTTGCCCTCCCTGTAATTAACTAGGTTTCAGTAACAAACCTTTGGGCTTTGGGGTTGCTATGGTTACCGCTCTCTCCATACTGTTTTCTGTTTGTCAGTCTATCTCTGTTGCTAAATTGTGCGTGTGTGTGTGTTTGTCCTTTTTTTCAGTGGCTGTGTGTCTATTCGATTGTGTTTGTCTGGGCTTACATTAACTCCATCTGGTAAATTATTTGTTGGCTCATAAGCTCGTCACTTATCATACGGTTTAATGTTAACGTGTGCAGAGGTGTAATGAATTTTAAATGGGAAAAAATAATCAGTAATCTTATTGCTCATTTGTGTTTTAACTTCCCTGTCTGATCATGAAACAATGTTGTTTCAGTGCTGCTTTGTTGTGCAACCAGCCTCGTACTTGAACTCAAATGCTCAGCCCTGTTGTGAACAGATGCAATTTTTCCTTTTTATTGAAATTAATACTGATAGACAAAAACTATATGTATATATTGTCTATCATTTAGGTCTTGTAATGAAAAAGCAGCTCTGTATCTACAAGTTTAATTTGTAAAATTGAATAAAGGCTTTCATTTCACCCATGACACAGGTTCAAGACCCTGCTTTTTACTGAATTGATGGACATGTCAATTAGCACTTTGGATAACCAGGTTTACGGCTGCGTTTTGCTTAGTTTACTAAGCAAGCAGAAAACTAAGGCATCTATACAGTCTGACAAAGGAGCTTAACATTTAAAGGGGTCATATAATGAGAAATATTTATGTATGTATGTATTTAATATAATATAATATAATATATTTATATTATATTATATATGAAAAGTGTATATACATCACCTTTCTGTTTGGGGTCAGGAAGATTTTTTTTAAACTAATTCATATTTCATATTTTTTGTTAGCAAGGACACATTTGTCAGAAGTCACAGTAAATATGTTTAATTATTAGCCAGCACAACTGTTTTCAATATTGATGATAGTAAGAAATATTACTTGAGCACCAAATTAGCTTTGCCACCACAGTAATTCAATACAGTTTTTAAGCAATTTTTTTTATTAAATGAAGATGGTGAGCATAAGAAACGTCTTTCAAAAACATAAAAAAAAATCTTACTGACTCCAAACTTTTTTTGAACAGTGGTGTGTTAATATTGAGTTTAAGTCCTTAAACTAATTCTCATCCTTGACCTTTTCCCCTCGGATTGAATTTGTATTTTCAGTCACCAGTAAGGCATTAATTTGGTTTTAAGTCACTGTTTTTCTTGCTGTAATGTCTCTGACATCTTCCCTGAAGAGTCTTCTGTTTTCTTTTGTCGTTTCAGCTAACAAGACACTTCTGGGTGGAGGAGGAGGTGAGTCAATTCTTTTTTCCCCTCTTTTTCAGAGGCTGAATGAGACAAATCTAGACACAGCTCAAGAGGGAAAAGACATTAGAGGAGAGAAGCATCGGAGAGGTGAGAGGAATTAGAAGGTGAAAGAGAGCAAGTGAGAATCAGCAGGTGGAAACAAAGGTGAGAGAGCGAGAACATATGTGTGTGATGGGAGCTGTTGTCAGCCTGAGGCTTTGCACTTTTCTGAATTTGAACAGACGATCTCTGATAGCCCCGTGAGTGAGAACAGAGGCGCTATTTGAGGAGCAAAAGAGCGATTAGAGACCCAGTGAGATGAAATGAGCGCTAAACTCTTAAACCATCTCTGATAGAGCGGCCCTTCCCTCCCAACGCGCAAACACACAAACACACACATGCCCACAAACACTGACAAGAGAAAAACAATTCATCAGCAGATTCTGAATAAAACGGCAGAATTAAAGAGAGACTGTGCTTTTTCGAAACCGTTTGCTCGCTGTGATATATTAAACAGTACTTTGATCTGACAAGACGGTAGATCTTTTCAGAAATACAGTAAAGCCTTCAGATTTCACCCATCTATCTGTACATACACATATTCATCAAACAATGAGCTTCTTTGGCATTGCAGCTGCATGAACAGTTAAGTCTTAACTAATATTTTAAGGACAAAAACAGTATCAAGCTGCCATGGTATTTTGGATATGCTACCATGGTAATTCTATCTATTTTTGAACATGTTTCATGATAGTATTGTAGTATTGTTTGTAAGAACAAACAGGGCAATACTGACATTGTTAGACATCCAACATATAAACTACAGCCCATCAAATAAGTAGTTTTCTCCTGAGGATCCGTAACTACGTCTGCAATTATCTCAGATTGCACTTTTAGTCATTAGTTACAGGCTTGTAATGTTCCTGCTCTCAAGAGATTCTAAATAACGAGTGTGTTACATGTAACAACTGTTTTTCCAATAGATTGTGCAGTGTGAAATCACCTCTCACCTGAAATAGCAACAGTAGCTATCTCATATCAGCACACGTGGTTTCACCAGACTAGCTGCTAAACCATCTTGACAGTATTAAGGAAAATGTTCACATAAAAATGAAAATTCTCTCATCATTTACTCACCGTCCTTCCAAACTTGTATTAATTTCTTTCTTGTGTAGAACACAAAAGAAGATATTTTGAAAAACTTTTTTTATCCAATACAATGAAAATCAAACCTTGCTTGGACCCCAGTGCTCTTCAAAATATCTTCCTTTGTGTTCCAGATAAGTAAATTATGACAGAATGTTCATCTTTGGGTGAACTATCCCTTCAGGACAGCATTCAAAAAAAAAAAAACCATCCTTCTTTTGAATGCTTGTTCCTAATTGGCAAATTATGGCATTCTGTGCAACCTATTTCTTCTCACATAAATAAAATATGGTAATATGTGATAAATAAATGAACATAAGCTATTACTTTGAGTTTAAATTATTGTATTTATTTATTTATTATTTTATTTTGTAGCGAGATAATGTAGTCATTATCACAAAGTAAAAATTCTAGTAAATTATGAACCATTTAAAAGTAAACTGCAATAAGCTGTCATGTGTGACACTATAAATAAGCATTGCTTTAGAAATGTCAACACTGTCAGTAGCTGTGATAATTGTACATGTCTTATTTTGTGCTTTCAAATTTTTAAACTAACTTCAAACTTGAAATGTGCTATGTTAAATCTAATATACATTACCATTCAAAAGTTTGAGGTCAGTAAGATGTTTTTAAGAAATCATTACATTCAGAAAGGATGCATTAATTTGATCACAGGGTGACAGTAAAGACATTTATCATATTAGAAGATTTTTATTTAAAATAAATGCTGTTCATTTTGAACTTCCTATTAATCAAAGAATGTATCGCAATTTCCACAAAAAAATATTAAGCAGCATAACTGTTAACATTAATAATAATAAATGTTTCTTGAGAAACAAATCAGCATATCAGACTGATTTCTGAAGGATCATGTGACACTGAAGACGGAATGACTGCTGAAAATTTAGCTTTGCCATCACAGGAATAAATTACATTTTAAAATATATTGTATATATTTCATAACACTGTTTTTATTGTATTTTGATCACATAAATGCAGCCTTTGTGAGCATAAGGCACTTCTTTTAAAAACATTTTAAAAAAATTACCCACCCCAAACTTTTGAATGGAAATGGCAGTGTACATACTCTGTCTGTGTGAGAGGTGTATGTGTATTTTGAAAGTGCATTGCAAAATCTAACAAATGTAATTTACTATAGTAGAGTGCTATGCAAATGAACAGAAATGTCCAACTGTTGACTCAGTATTTGTGCGAATGCATGTGTGTGTTGATTGTAAGCGTGTGCCGCTCTTGCTCTCTGCCTGTGTTAAGTGCCTGCCCGTTAGCTAATCAATACCAGTGATAAATCTGCACTCGAGAATCCTACTCATCAGAACCACGTCCCTCACACACAAACACAAATTCAGAAGTGCGCACTGCTGTATATTGACCTGGGGGTTTTTTATGCAGTTCCTCAAACACAAATGGCAAATGCGATTGATTTAGGCCTGACCTTCACCTCCCTCGTTTTAAACCTCACTGTCAGTTCGTGCCTCTGCATGTCTTCCATCTCCCTTTCGCTGTCTCTGTTTTACTCCGCACCCATCCTTCTGTCTCTCTGCCCTACCCTATCAGCTCTTCTCCTCACTTCCTAACACTCCAACACCTCTTTTCTCTCTATTTCTGTCGCCAATACGCAAACACATCGGGTTCCTCGCACTCGCACACCCTCCCTCTCTTTTTGTTGGCTCCGCTCCTGAGGTTTGTTAAGGCAAACCTGGGTGATAATTAGGCAGGGACAAACAATACATCAGGGAGGACACCAGCCTCAGAGCATTGCATGCAGAGAGAGAGATGAGGGGTTAGCCTCTGCCTGTTGGTGTTTAAAGCAGGAAAAGTACTAAAGCTGAGGGCAAAAACAAGAGGATGTGTTTAAAACAACAGAAAAAAGAGTTAGGATGTGTTGTACAGTCATATATAGTTTGTTTCAGATACTGTTTTTCAAACTCTAGCACCATCTATTCTCAGTCAGCATTTTTGATGCACTGCAAAAATCAATTTATTAAGTATTTTAGTCTTTTCTTATTCCAAAAATGATATCTAAACATCCTTAAAACTAAATTTGCTTGGAACAATTTAACAAGATTCTTTTCAGAGAATATGTCTTAAATTAGGTTTATTTTTTAAATAAACCTAATCTAAGATCTTAAATTATCTTTTATTTTTATTACCTCACTGGTAAATTGTTCAAAGCGCTACACTCACTACATCAATTTTTTAGATTTATGCTTGAGACAAGAAGAACAAAACTATTTGCCATTGACATTAGAAAACTAAACATCATTCAAGATGTATTCTTTAATCACTTGAGAAGCAAAACAATTATGCAATAATCTGATATAATATAATATGATAATGTGTATGGTAAATGTTGTTTCGGAGAATGTCTACTATTTTTAAGCATAAATGTCACAGTTTAGTGGGGTTTATACTGTAATTTGCCAATGGGGTTTGAAAATTTTTATTTAATATTCTCTAAAAACAAGTGTGATTGTCTTATTACCTTGTTGTAAGTCTTATCACAATTTTGCCTTGAGATATATATATATATATATATACTGTATAATCTTTCTATAAACTTTAAAGGATGTTCTGATATTTTTACTGGAAAACAAGACAAAAATACTGCATAATACAACTTTGCTATGTACGAGACAGGAAATGAAAGGAAGAAACATGGAAAATGAAAGTGAATAAGGAAGGAAGGAAGAGAGGCTGTGAGTGAGTGAGTGAGTGAGTGATAAAAATAATTCATGCTGGATTTTCTGCATTCCTGGTCAAATGGATCATACTTGGAAATGGCACAGGCGATCAAAATTTTCTGTTTATTACAGTGGGAGACATCAGTCCTGATGCTCAGAGCTGAGAGAGCTCCAGATTGTATGAAAGGACACTGTGACATTAGAGTCTCTTTGGGGGTTTTGTTGCGTTTGTGGTGTAATGCTGTATTTTGGCATATGGCTCCTTTTTAAATCTTCTTTAAGTCTGTTTATGAGATTTCTTTGCCCTGTTTTTAGCAACCTGGAAAGCCACACATGGATAAGTATTGATTGATTGTTTAATTTTTTGAGTGAGAATGTGTGTGTTCTGTCCTCCACTTGGCATTGAGTGGAATGTTGGTATTCTGGTTGAAAACCCAGGGCGCCGGGCGAGTGTTTAGAGAGAGATAGTGCTTTGGTGTCGAGGGATTTGTGACACGGGCAAGCAGATGTGCCAGATCCAATCAAATGCTCTTACTAATGGCTGCCATGGTGACCAGCTCAGCCAATAAAAGGGTGTGTTTTCAATAACACTGGTTAGTGCCCCTCAGTCCAGGCCAAACTGATTTGATGGGAAATTGAGAACAACTGTTAACGAATGCTTTTGTATGCAGAAATTTTGTGTGTGTGCATGTGGTTAGATGTTGCGTGGGGTTGCATGTAAGGAGCACATGTGAATGAGGACTGAAAAAAAGCTGTGCATGCAATATAGGAAAATATTATATGTTTTTTCCATGTCACAAACCCCTTGTCAAGTAAGCAAGAAGCCAGTTAGCACCTGCTAACAAGATGTCTGTGTAATATAAAAAGCGTGTGTGCATGCATGTTGCAATTACACAGGAAGGCAAACTATTCCCAACAGGCGTACCTCGTCACCACATTCGCATCTTTTCCCTTATTCCTTCCTCTCATCCTCCTTTCCTCCGCTCCAAAGCCCTGAGTACAACTTCCCTCCATCTGTCCCTCCGTCTCTCTCTCTGTTTTTTTCCTCCACTTCACTCTCTCTTTGGTGTTTCTCAGTATATATTCCCTATCTTTTTATCACTCTATCTCTCGCTCCTGCAGATTCTGAGCACATATCAGCAAAAGTGCCAGGGTGCTAAAAAACCCTCGAGTAAAACTGTTATGGCCCTCAAATTGCTGCCCTCAGTGCTATGAGAAATCAGATTTTTTTGTGTCCTCAAATGATAAATGGGAATTGGGTTTGTAAAAAAACATCAGCATTACAGTGTTTCTCTAGGGGAGAGTGGGGTAAGATGTGTCACTGGGTAAACCAATCTAGTGAACTGCATAATTGTTGTCATGCAATATTATTATTAGGATGATTATTATTAGGAAGAGCTCATCATATACAGCTGCCTGCAAATCATATTTATCCAGGTTTAAAAATATGCATGCATGTTGTTAAATTGCAGTGGAAATGAAAGCTGTGCATGCAATATAGGAAAATATTATATGTTTTTTCCATGTCACAAACCCCTTGTCAAGTAAGCAAGAAGCCAGTTAGCACCTGCTAACAAGATGTCTGTGTAATATAAAAAGCGTGTGTGCATGCATGTTGCAATTACACAGGAAGGCAAACTATTCCCAACAGGCGTACCTCGTCACCACATTCGCATCTTTTCCCTTATTCCTTCCTCTCATCCTCCTTTCCTCCGCTCCAAAGCCCTGAGTACAACTTCCCTCCATCTGTCCCTCCGTCTCTCTCTCTGTTTTTTTCCTCCACTTCACTCTCTCTTTGGTGTTTCTCAGTATATATTCCCTATCTTTTTATCACTCTATCTCTCGCTCCTGCAGATTCTGAGCACATATCAGCAAAAGTGCCAGGGTGCTAAAAAACCCTCGAGTAAAACTGTTATGGCCCTCAAATTGCTGCCCTCAGTGCTATGAGAAATCAGATTTTTTTGTGTCCTCAAATGATAAATGGGAATTGGGTTTGTAAAAAAACATCAGCATTACAGTGTTTCTCTAGGGGAGAGTGGGGTAAGATGTGTCACTGGGTAAACCAATCTAGTGAACTGCATAATTGTTATATATATATATATAGTAATTAGGAAATTTACATAGGCATATTATTGCCTTATTATTGCCTTATAATATGAAAAAAATATTTACTGCATTTTTATGCATGTTTTCTAGGTGCAAATTTCTCCCCAAGATATGGTTAAGTACACACATATATACATATTACATATAATAAACTATTTTCCAGTTTTCAATGGATGGTGCCATTCATCGTGGGGCTGGTCCTCTGTTGAGGAAGGAATGTGCCACTCTGAACGGCTGTGAAATGGGGGAGGCCAAGATCACCGGAGCCTACGGTCTGCCTGCAAAATGTGAGTCGCTCATGAAACACACCAATCATCATACAAATGGCATATAAACATCAGTCTGAAATGTTTTGAACTCTGTAATGTTGATGTGTGAATTCAGAATCATTTGGTAGAATTAAACCTGAGCATCTTTTCCAGTATGCTGGATGGATAAGGCGAAGAGCAAACCTTGCCTGTGTTTACGCTTGATCGCTTCAAAGTCAGCACCATACTTCTGTAGAAAGTAAATTACACTTGATAAATGTCATAAAGTACATTTTTTGCACGGTTTTTAATTTCCCGTCTTACGATTGTAAGCAGGTGTTGTGCAACCTCTCTAGTGAAATGTCAAACGGTTGCATACACGTTGCACGCTGCCATATGAATAATCGCACACTTAGCAGTAATTTCCTTGTCTAATTTATGATCCCCCCCACCGTACCTAGCTGTTCAGAGACAGAGATGCACACGCTGCTGATTCTCCAGCCACCAACCCCCCTCCCAACAACACACACACATATACATTCACACACACGGATACACATCGATGATTTGCCTCGCACTCTAGGCTATGCTCTTTGTTAGGATTTACTTCATCTTTAGTTGATTTTTCTCTCCAACTTCGTTTTTCTTTCTCTTCTCTCTTTGAACTGTACTAAACTGTGGGAAGTAGAACAGTAAATATCAGCAGTAATTGCAGGACTGAAATTAGTGTTTGTGTCTGACTGTGCCCACCGCACACTGCTTGTATAATGACTGATCTGATTATAAGTTATGTACGAACAGGTGTTTGGGCTATTTGTGATTTGTGAGCTGTAAAATGTAACATTTCAAAATTTTCTGCTGGTGTGGGTTCGAGTTCATTCCCTCTCTCTCTCACTAGATTTTTACATGTTCTGAAATTTGTCTATGCAAAATTGGCTGCCACAAATGCTTGGGTGTTCAGCCAATCTCCAAGTGTCATTGTCTGGGCTTTAAATATGACTCCTTCAGTGCAAATCTATGGTGTTTTTTTCACCCATTATGTCATCAACCGGATTATAAACGCACTGGTCATTTGGAAAAGTAATAGCAAACCTCAGCTGAACATGCTGAAAGATTTGAAATGTCAATCATATCCAATGCAAGAACAAGTTAAAAGGGAGAGTTCACCTCCAAAATTAAAATTGTCATAATTTACTCACCCTGATGTTGTTTCAGACCCATAAATAAAAAAATTAAAAAAAAAAAACATAAACTTAATCTGTTAATTATAAAAAGTGACTGCATCTCTTCACAAGACTTCATTAACTAATCTTTTGCTCATAGACTGGATGAATAACAAGGTTCAGTTACTTAATTATATTTATGAAACAATCCAAATGAAATACACTGTACGTTTATAATGACCTCAGATTCCAGGCTGTTATTTTGAATGAATTTTGGGCCGCAGCTTTCTGAAAATCACAGCCTTCTCTTGTCAAAACCGATCGGTTGAAAGCCAAGGTGAAAGGAGAGTGATCTATTGTGCGGCCCGTCATGCTCGATCGGCCGGTGACTGCTGGTACATTGTAACTCAGCTGTCAAGCAGATTTGAATTTGAGAAAAAGGAGAGAAACACAAAAAGTGAGTGAAACACCTTCGGACCTTTCAGATGATAAGCAGTTCGTCTAAGCTGGCTGCCTTTTTTAAATCGACGCACCTGCTCCCCTGCTCCCCTGCTGCAGAATGGGCATATAGTTGTGCACAGTGACTTTTTCTCCAGGGGGTTTGGTGGGAGAGTCCAGGGCCTCCCTTTGTGCACGAGACAGGAGACTTGGGTTTGGTCTGGATGAGTGAACAGTGAGACTTGGTAGCGGAAAGACAGACAACCTTTCACTGAGAGGGAGGGAGAGGAGGGAAGAGAAAGGCGAGCAGGCAGGAGGAAGGAGGGAAGGAGGGGGGAACAAACAGAGGAGTGATTTAGAGCTTGATAATAGCAAGTTTGGAGTAGATTCATCGATACGTTATGGGTGTTGTCAGGTTTTGGTGTGTAGTATGGGAGAAAGAACAGTGTTTTCTCAGGATCAGGAAACTATGGAGAAATAAAATTGTAATAGTATGTATTAATACTAATACAATAAGTATTAGTATTAAATTATAATTAACTAAATAAATACTAAATTAGTTTATTTATTTATTTCAATATGTATGTATTTTTAAATAAATAAATAAAAATTCTTAGTGTGTTGTGTTAGCATTTTATTGGCCCTTAATTAATTTTAGATACAGCTATGCAGCTTATTATTATTATTATTATTATTATTATTAACAAATTTAAATACACCATGTAATATATATATATATATCTTGTGACCCTGGACCACAAAACCAGTCATATGTAGCACGGGTATATTTGTAGCAATAGCCAACCATACATTGTATGGGTCAAAATTCATTTTATGGCAAAAATCATTAGGGTATTAGGTAAAGATCATGTTCCATAAAGATATTTTGTAAATTTCCTCTCTGTATATATACTAAAACGTTATTTTTGATTGGTAATATGCATTGCTAAGAACTTCATTTGGACAACTTTAAACGCGATTTTCTCAAATTTTTTTTTTTTGCACCCTCAGATTTCAGATTTTCAAATAGCTGTATCTCAGCCAAATATTGTCCTATCCTAACAAACCATACATCAACAGTTTTCAGATGATGTATAAATCTCAATTAAAAATTTTTTACATTTTTGTGGTCCAGGGTCACATATATAAATCACTTGTTGCTAAATAAATTATATATACTATTATAATTTATATACAAAATACGAGTGTCTCTTCATATGTATGTCAGGTTACAACACAAATGAGCAAGGACATCGTTAAAATAATCCATGTGACATCAGTGGTTCAACTGTAACTTTACAAAGCTACGAGAATACTTTTTGTGTGCAATAAAAAACAAAGTTACGGTTGAACCACTGATGTCACATGCATTATTTTAACGATGTCCTTGCTATGTTTCTGGATCTTGATCATAGTAGTATCCTTGCTGTCTATAGAGGGTCAGAGAGCTCTCAGAATTCATCAAAAATATCTTAATTTGTGTTCCGAAGATGAACAACAATGAAATGACATGAGGGTGAGTAATTAATGACAGAATTTTATTTTTGGGTGAACTATCCCTTTAAATAAAAAATATAAATATAGATGTATAAATATGTAATTTCTTTCTTTTGTGTTGAAACCCTGACATGCATAAGTACACACACACTGTACTTCTTGTATGTATTATTATTTAAATAGACTTTACAACAAGTACGAAAGGTAACTCATCCAATTTACAGCTTAAATGATGCGTTTCAGAAATTATTGTTTACATACAAGGTTCTGAATCTACATTATGCAACATTCTAACTCTGAACTCTGTAGAAAATGTTCATTTCTTCCCCACACACTCTCTGTTGTAAGTGTGCTTGTATGTGTTTGTTTTAGAGAGCATACAGGAGCAACAGTGGGAGAGTTGAGCAGTGCGATATCTGAACCTCCCGGCAGTTTTTTGTAGTTTGCTTTAACCTCCAGCTGCACCTGTGTCTGCGGTGATTGTCATCCTGTCTCTCTTCCTCTCTTCCTTCTGCACCCACTTTAGCAGATCACGCTGTGCCACAAACATGACAACGCTTTGTGAAACTGTACTTCCAGTCAAACATATACCCACTGTTCTCTGTTGTTTTTTATTTCCTGTCCATTGTTTCCTTTTGCACTTCATATGCGAGTGTCTGCAAGCCTTGGTGTGTTTATGTTTGTGTGTGTGTGTGTGTGTGTTTCTGTGTGAGTAATGTCTCTGCCCGACTTGATGTATGATGGTGAGGCTGGACTAAACAAACAGAGGTGGATCGATGCTGTAAACACTGCAGAGTGCAGCGGTAAATAAACACAGCCGGACAGCACGCAGCGCAGAGAGGTGTCGGGGAGGGATGCGGGGGGTGGATGGATGAGGGAAAGAGGAGTGGGAGTGTAACTGACGGTGGGCTGCTGGACATCCAAAGGACAAGCGGGGCAAAGGGGAGAGATTGAGGACATGCCACAGATGTGACACGCAAGGACACGAGACATTGAGAGGACAGATGGATGGATGTTTTAGACAGAAGGTAGACGGAAAAGGAGGACAAGGGAAACGGACACGACGCCTGCGGTTGAGCTGAGTGTCAATGGGAGGAGGAAACAGGAAATTGAGATGAGAGGGTGCAGGACTGAGACAAGTGGGGCTTTAGTAATTGAGAAACAGACAGATGGCAGAGATGGGAACAACAAACAGAAAGTGCAGTTAGTGTAAGTGCATAAGAGGAGAGCTAATCAAAAGTCTAGACACAATGCATAAATAAGTTTGTGTGACACATCGGGTTCTTCAGCTTTCTTTTACTGAAGGCCTTACGAAAGCTTTTTACTGTATCCATTTGGTAGCGTTTATGTGTGAAACAATTGCAGTACAGACATTTGTTATAATGATTTAAATAATCATATTCTATGACAGACTTAGAAAACTGATTTTCAATTAAACACTTTTACATTTTAGATTTAAAAGCAAAACGTCTTGCATAAAATTGATAACTTCCTTTTTGAACTAGAATAGGAAATTTGATGCTCTTGAGCTGTTTCCTATTGCTCTTATTAATTTGTACCATGGAAACCATAGAATCTGCCAACAGTTCTTAGAATCTGGCATTACTACAGTTATTACAGTAAATAGTGGTAACATGCCAGTAAAAAGATTGTGAAATCAATTACGCAGCTCGATGCTGATTCCATATGATTTTACTCTTTTATAAATATTATTAATTCTAAATAATTGTGCCAGAAACTGTTGCTTACTATGATGAAAGATTGAACATCACCTCAGGTGTTGACAGCATCTATCAGTACAGCAATTACTGCGATGAGATATTTCGATGTTGTGGAGTAATATATCATCATATATTATCATACGTCATCAGACGAAACAAGCCAAAAGACCCTTCCAATAGCAATCTGTTATTTCTGTAAGTAGGTCGCACTGTAATACAAAGGCCAAGATCTGTCAAGGCCAATATTACTGATATTGATATACTGATACCATTATTAAATGAAACATTTTTTGCTATTGAGGTTAAAATAGGTCATTTATAGTGCTTTAACATATTTGTAAAACATTTTTTAGCATTTAATAGACCTAAATTCTAAATAATCCATTTTTGTTTGTGTTTATTTTTTGTTATATACAGAATATGCTCAGATTGCAATCTTTAAAATTTAGATAAACTGAAAAAAATAAAAACTTTTTTAAAAATCACTTGACAGGACATACAGACAGGAAGTTAGAGTTATATAACACAATCACATATTTTCCTGATATTTTTGTATGACTTCTCTCTGTCTTTGGCCTTATCTCTCTGCTTCACAGATGTTATTCACACCGTGGGGCCGATAATCCATGATTCAGTGGGGGACAGAGAGGAACAAGCACTGAGAAACTGTTATTATAACTGTCTGCACACAGCAACTAAGAATCACCTGCGGACTGTGGTGAGGATCTCACACACTCATAACAGATTCAGACTTCATGTCTTGGCTGTGACATAGCTACTTGTATGCAATTTTAATGGCCCAACGCATTCTCGAACCTTACACACTGGTTGCACATAAACTCAGGTACATACAGTTAACATGTTAAACTCTCACCCTGTATCACTCACATCTCACAGCTGCCTCAGGGTATGAGATTCAAAATGCCAGCAATCCAGTCATAACACAGCGCATAACTCGCACTCCACTGGTGCCCTAACAATTTTTATATGAATCTACTAAAACAGTTGAGAGCCGTTTCAGCTTTATTTCTTTCAGAGATTGATTTATTGAAGACAGGTTACTGCATGTATAAAAGATTTTAACACAGTGCACCAGCAAGGATAAAAATACACACAGGCACAGCTAAGATCTATCATTAAGGTTCTCAGGAAGGAGTGCTGCAGCATCATAATATCTTATGGGGACTTCCTGTTTATCTTTATGTAACTGGTGTTCACTGTGAAAAAAGACCTTTAACCAAGTTTTTATTAGGTATAGTTCATCTAAAAAAATGCTCATAATTTACTCACTCATTTCCAGTTATATTTTAGCATTATTTATAGTATTTATTAGTATTTTGAATGAGCTTTTATTTGATATTTTCAGTTTTTATTTAAATTTTATTTTAAGTTTTAATAATTTTATCCGTTTTTGTATTGCTATATATTTTTAATGAAATTTTATTCTAGTTATAGTTGAATTAATTTTAGTACTTCAGCTTATTTCTTATTTTTGATTTTTGTTAGATTTTTCTAATACTTGTATTTAATTTCATATTTATTTCATCTTCATTTCAATTACTGAAGTTATAATTATCAAAAACAAAACTGGTCATTTCAAACCTGCATAATTATTTTCCATCAAACACAAAAGTTGTTGTGGTAAATGTTCTGGCTGCTCTTCCATATAAGTGCAAGGAGGCAGGTGATAATTGAGCTCAAAATGAACTTAAAAGTATCATTACAAGTCTTCTGATAGCTTTGGAACAGAATGAAGCGAACGCAACAGTCTTTTGTTATTTTTATGCTCAACATCCCCCATCCTCATTCACTTTCATTGTATGGAAAAGTGGCAGCCAGGACTTTCAGCAATGTATCTCGTGTTCCCAGAAGTAAGTAAGTCATTCAAGGTTTGGAAGAACATGAAGGAGAGTAAATGACAGAAATTTCATTCCCTTAATTGATTTCAAAGTGCTATCCATACGTGCTGGGGTTTGCAAGACACAAAGTGGTACCTTAGCAGCAAATGCTTTTAAAACACCAACGATTGTCTGTGACTCGGTCCATTTGTTTTAAGTAAAGCTTTTGTTTTTAAGGCCCTTAATTCTAGGGCGCAAGTGGCTCGTTGTCATTAGTAATGGATTGTATCTTTAATGGGTTGTAATTAATCAATTTTCATTCACCCTCCCTTGTAAAAGCTGTTGTTTTGTTGTGGTTTTGTACTAATAGGTCCAACAATAAGTGCTTTGTAAACCTTAATTTCTTTTATTATAATACAACACATTTATTTAAAGAAACATTTAGTGGTTCATACACAGATGATAAAACAATTACTGTAAATCTATATTTCTTTTTATGTTTCTTTGATGTTGATGTCTAGGCTTTTCCCTGCATCTCTACTGGAGTGTATGGTAGGTGCAAATTACAGCTTTATTTCTCAATCAATGTTTACTTTTCATCTTTAATTGCTTTGTCTTACATCAATTATTTATTTTTATATGTCCTTTGTATTCATAGTCTATAAATGACTGTGTGTAATTCATTACAGGTTGGTTGATTTAGAGTTTTCAATGGGCTCATTTATTATTAAAACCTATGATCATTCATTAACTGCATTTATGGGCTAACATCAATGGTACTTCACCCCCAGTGTTTATGACACTCTATCTAACCTAATCAATGGTACGTTTATGAACCTCAGCTATGATGTGACCTCCGTGCTCATGCATGTGTTCTTATTTGTGGTGGTTTATGTAGCAGGAACCTCATTTTAGGAATTCTGGGAGTGGATATCACTTGCAGTAGTATGAGGGATTTTCAGATTAAGGGTGGGATTAGACGGTCAGATTAGGAGAGATTTGGTGCGAGAGCATGTCACTGTGATTATAATCCCACTTTTTAGCTATACGTGTCAAGATTAAACTCAAAAATGAACTTGGCAAACAGCTTCAGTTTGAAAACAACTACCATCAGTAATTCATTTTCAAGTCCTCAAGCAGAAAATATGGTGCCATGCATCGGCAGAATTGTGAGTGCTGACAAGGTGTGAACATGTTGATGCCTCTTGGTTAATCATACAGATTAGATCATTACAATCAAAGTAATGTGTATATCTATAAAAAAATATCAAGGCTGTTTTCATTTACTTTGTGTTGGGGATGACACTTTAATGCATCAATGATTCATTTTTTTATTAATTATAAAAATAAATTAATTTTCTGATCTGCCTCAATAATGTCTTCTTTATCTTTATATGGGTGCAATTGATTGTGGTGATTTATTTAGTCATTCAGCGCATTATAATTTAAAGCGATAGTTCACCCAAAAAATGAAAGTTCTGTCCTTAATTACTCACCCTCATGTTGTTCCAAACCTGTAAGACCTTCGGTTATCGTTGGAACACAAATTAAGATATTTTTTATGAAATCCAAGAGCTTTCTGACCCTCCATAGACAACAACACAACTGACAATTTCAAGGCCCAGAAAGGGAGTGAGGACATTGTTAAAATAGTCCATGTGACATAAGTGGTTCAACCGTAATGTTATGAAGCTATACGAGAATACTTTTTGTGCACAAAGAAACAAAAATAATGACTTTATTCAACAGTTTCTTCTCTTCCGTGTCAGTCTCCGCTGCGCGTTTACGAGAGTACCACGACGCTTGCATGTGGAAGAAATTGTTGAATAAAGTCATTATTTTTGTTTTCTTTGCGTACAAAAAGTATTCTCGTAGCACCGTAAAATTAAGATTGAACCACTGATATCACATTTTGCTATTTTAACATTTTACTATTTTAACGGGACTATTTTAACGATTTCCTTACCACCTTTCTGGGTCTTGAACGTGTCAGTTGCATTGCTGTCTATGGAGGGTCAGAAAGCTCTTGAATTTGATCAAAAATATCTTACTTTGTGTTCCGAAAATGAACAAAGGTCTTATGGTTTTGGAACGACATGCGGGTGAGTAATTAATGACAGAATTTAAATTTTTGGATGAACTATCCCTTTTTTAGTCTTTTTTAATAATCATAATTTAAACATGTTAATCGATTAAAAGTCCTAGTATAAATCTGATGTGTATTGTGTTCATGGGTTGGATGATGTGTGGTGTGGTGCAGGATATCCACCTGATCAAGCAGTCGAAGTTGCCCTGAGAACAGTGAGAGAATACCTGGAGCAAAATCACGAGAAGGTGTGTGTCATTTCCCTACTGGTATTCTTTTCTTGCCATTGTTGTTATTGTTCGATGAGGAACACGTCGTGGCAAACAGATGGTGGCTGCATAGGGACTTTCTTTTCTGAGTCAGCATGCACACACACACACCCACACACACACACACACACACACAAATATAACCTCGCAGTTTTAATTGGTTCCTAACGGAGCTTGTATTGGCTTCGCAGAACAGCACGAATACAAAAAATCCACAAACGCATTGACACAATCTCTGGTCCTTGGAACTTAATGTGAGTCTAGAGTAAATTTAACAGGAAATGAGCCATCAGGATGTCTTTGACAAAACTTCTGCATGTCCCATACTGCAGCCGCTCTCTCTCTCTCTGGCGCTCGATTTTCACTGGTCACATCTGTTTTTTTCCCCCTCTCTCATCTCTCACTGATCTGTCTCTCCTGTCCTGAGCGTTCATCTCACTCTGCGCAGCATGCTTATTTGCTCTTGCCGTCTTTTACGCTACAGACATACAAAATGACAGAGACACCCTAATTATGGCACACTAATTAACCAGCGCTTTGCTGCTTGCTAACCCTTCCACTTTCCATATGCACCCAGAGAATAGTACAGAATGGAAGAGAGAAAGCACTTTTATAGTTTTGGAATAGTTTTATTAGCTTTATATTATTATTATATTTTTAATTCTATTTATTCTACTTTTACTATTTATAAAATTGCGTAATGTGTACCATCAGCAGAAAATAATCAACAGTACTTAAAAAAAAAGTTAATTACATCTAAGGCCATGTTTTTTAAGAGCAAATGTGAGGGGTAATGAAAAAAATTACAGCAAAAGATCACATAAAAGTAGGTGGTGCCTCCACGTCACTGTGATTGGCTGATTACCCTGTCAATTTGATAACGCCCAACTATCATGATCGCAGCCAGTCTGCGAATCGACCTGAATGCGTCAGGCTTGGTGAAAATGGACTGACTAATTAATTACAGAGTGAACAACTCACCCACTTCGACAAAGCCACTCATGTCTGGATCAAAATGAACTTGAAATGATGATGATGATGATACGTGAGTGAGCCATTTTTTAGTAAACACTTAACTTAGTTAAATTAAATGTATACCTCCTTGCAACCTTCATGGCCCCTGCAGTGTTTATTGAGGATTTGATGGGTAATGGTTCGAAAAGAAAGCAACTATTAACTATAACATTTCGTAGTATCAAATGAAACTGCATAAAATATGTTTTATGCTTTTGAAACATTTTTTAAAAACTTATAAAATTGAATTTGCTATTATCTGGTGTTACATTCTGTAAATAGTATGTTCATTTAAACAAACCAAAAATATTATATGATTTTCTTATTGATAGTGTGTGGTAAATAGTTTGCCATATGCTTTTAACCCAGAAACCATGTAAAAATCAAATGGAAAATTTCTGTAGTCCATTACATATGTGCATGTTTATAATGTTACAAATGCTTTGGCAATGTAAAGCATTATTTTGAATCTGAATCAGACAGACAAAGCGACACAGGATGAGTGAGCCAGAGAGGGAGAGACATTTGGCTAAAGGCAATGAAAAAAGACAATGCTAGAGACCAAAGAGAGAAAAATGAGAGTGAGAGAGATTTCAGTGGCAGAGTAGGAGTGCTAGCTGGATGCAATGATGTGTTACAGGAACATGATTAGAAGCAGGAACAGCCCACCTGCCCTCACCACTGTTGTCATGGAGATGGAGGTTCTAGGATGCTGGCACGGATCTCCATGTATTCTTTTTATGTTGTTGCTTGCCATGAAGCATTTGGGACTGGTGCTGGTGTTCTGTCAAGGACAGTTAGGTCACTGGCACTGCGCCTCTCTGGCTAGAAAGACTCAGACATTAGAATATGCTAAGCAATTGCACCCAAGTGCTCCTTTTCTTCTCTCTTCTCCTGTCTTCACATAAGACTGAGAGGCTACAAGTCAAAAATCTGTGAATTGGACAAATGAACCTTTTTCTTCAGTTATATGAATTATTTGAAGTTCAATTCATGCCACCAAAAATAATATCTCAAACAAACACTTAGAAATTAACTTAATGTAGGTCTAGAAGCTTTTTTTTAAACAAACATTATTTTCTTTCCTTTAACTTTATTCACAAGATTTGAAGCAAATTTCTGCTATGACTTAAGAGAGTGTAGTAAGGATGAAGGAGCATATTTGTTTCATTTGGATGAAGTTTGTGATATATTAATACAGGTATGGTCTCAGTTGTGTCGGTTTCTGCTGTGCAGTAGCAAAATCATAACTTGAAAGTGAGATTCTCTGTGGTCATTTATTTTTTATTTCTTGTCTCTTTTTCTGTTTTAATCTGCTCTCAGCTGGACCGGGTCATCTTCTGTGTGTTTCTGAAGTCTGACAAAGAGCTCTACGAAACAATGTTGCCTGCATACTTCCCACGAGGTCTGTCATCACACACGCTTGTTGGGCTTTCATGTTTTATTGGGACTTATATAGTGAATTTTATACTATACAGACTGTATACTCTATCCCCTAAAACTAACCCTCACAGAGAACTTTCTGCATTATTACATTTATAAAAAAAGGTATAGGCCGAAGCTGTTTTCCATGTGGGGACCAAAAATGTCAGGTTTTACTAGCCTTTTACCATCCAACATAGGGTTTACCTGGACCACATATCTCATACACACCCTTTTACTTATAGCGAGTTCTTCAAAACATTATTCTTTACATTTTGCATTTTTAATGTTGATTTCATTTCCTAAAAGAGATAGCAGATATTTATAATTATTTAAAATTCATAATCACCCTTGATTTATGCCTTCTAAACAAACTACCCAGTGGTTCTGCACTTTATCAATATGTACATTTCGAGTATTTTTCACCTCAAAGTCTTCCATCTTATTCCTCCCGCAGTGAGAGGACAAGTAATTGGTAGTCCTGACTGACATCAATGTATTTGTGTTGGTTTTTTTCTGTGTTCTGGGACACAGAGTACAAACTTGTGCAATTTAAAGCTATTCTTATGTGATAGCTGTATGCTTGTAGTTAGCGCTAATAACAAACCAACACTGACTACATTAGCGTTTTTAATGGAAGCAGTGTTTACCTTGCTAAAATAAATTAATTAAAAAGCAGCACACTGACTAATTTAGTGTTTCATATGACTAAATATTAAACACTCCCAAACATATTGACTGGTGCTAATATTTGCTGATGGTTATCAGGGTAGCTCAGGGCTCGAGGCATACAGGATTTGGGATAGGTGTCACTGTAAGAGATCCATGAGAGAAGAAAAAATGCCCCTTTTTTTTTTTTTTTTTTTAAATGTAACATGTTTCATGAACGATCCTTGCTCTAATAATCACAGTTATGACATAATGTTATTGAGATCTCACACAGTGGCTGAACTCCAAACATTAGTGTTCATGTAAATGTCTGTTACTGTACGTGCGTGTGCTCCATTAGACCTGTTTTTCACCTCCAGGTTCACCGCCAAAGAGCACATTATGAGAGGATGGCATAGTTGCTGTGGAAACGCCACACAAACTGCTTTTCCGTCACATCACTGTCTCGCTTTTACCTGATGCAGCCCCTACAAACATCAACAGCTGCCTGACACCACCTGATTTATTCATATCACTAAACCAGTGCTACATGGAATTCAATGATTGCTATCAGCTTCTTGTTGGGAGTCATATTGCTATTGGATTTGTGTTAATATTAATAACAATGTGGGCTTACAAGTGGTAGCTCACCCAAAAATGAAACATTTACTCATCTGCATAGAATCATACACAAAAATGCTGCTTTATAACAAATATCTTTTTTTTTTAAGTTATATCTCAAGTTTGGTGTCTTTCAAATCTGTTTATTGCTTACTCTTGTTGTTTCTCCTTCCAGAAACAATTTCCTGCAATTATATGATTTGCACTGCATTAGCATTGAAATTATAGAAGATATCCTACGTGAATATTGTTTATAGAGTTGAATAAAAATTGAATTAAGGCAATCAAAGGAAGCAAAAGAGTATGTCAGTGGTTGTAACACTTAACCTCTAATGAAAGTGCACTATTTGTACTTCTTCAATGTACTTTCTGTCTTCCAGTATGATAAAAGACCCTCATTAAAGTCAACTCCCCTCTCTGAACTAATGGCTGGGGCCGCTCTTAATGCAACTTTCATTAATTACACCATAAGCCTTCTAGTTAATAGTATAATGTCAGCAAATGGATTTAGAGCAGATGAAAAATTTTGAAATATTGATGCCGATTGATTTTGTCAAATTCCTCGAGAAGAACTCCTAATTGTTTTGTGACCATTTATTTTTTCCCCACTCGTATCGTACGATTCGAGAATCTCTCATAGTGCTTTCCAAAAAAAGATGAGTCTTCTTTCATCTCAACATGCTGCTATATCTGTGAAAGAAAGGAGAGTGTGAGGGAGGCAGATGAAAAAGAGAGAGAGGGAGAGATGAGTTTAATAAACTCATCTGAAGCAATTTTCGTTTTTTAATAAGCGACAGGCAGCTCAGATACTGTCATCAGGCGAGCTTCTCCAAATAATGAGAGCGGAGGAGAAAAAAGGGAGCGCAAGAGAGAGAGGGAGGAAGAGCTCAGCAGAGTAATTATCCTAAATCCAGACTTCATCACCGTCCCATCAGCACTTCTCTCTTCCTTTCCTCCCTCTTGCAATCTAGCTCTGTGTCCCTCTCTCTCTAGCCCTCTTAGTAAAGTGTTATTTAATTTGCTGTATTGGCACAGTGAAAGCAGCCAGTGTGCGGCTGCTGCTGAAATAGTAACCCTTCAATGACGATTACACTGGAGTGCATCCTATACGCCAGCAGCAGAAGCACGGCGAGATGAGAGCTCATCTTCTCTTTTTTGCTGCTCTCTCGCCTTATCTCTCTCTCCCATGCCCTCGTGTGCTCGTTTTCCATGATCCTATCATGTCTCTCTCTCTGGTTCCCTCCAGCTGCGTTCCCTGTGTATCGTCAGACTCATAACCCCAGATTCTGCCAGTCAAACGGAGCTCGCTATCACTCGTGGCCCTGCCATTTCATCCTGGTGCTCTGTCGCAGTTTAATCTGGTTTAATCTTGTGGGTGCAGCCAGAAGTGTCATGGGGCTTTTTGAGCCAAGTGGATTTGAATGTGACTTCCCAAATAATTTTTTTTATCTTTGATTATTAAGTTCCAAGATAAAAAAAGCACATGTCTCTACATTTTAGTCTAAGCAAGTTACAGTTGCTTAGCATTTTTTTAATCCACCCTCATGTCGCTCCAAATGCACAGGATTTTTTTCTTCCATTGTTGAACACAAAAGGCGATCATTAAAATGTCAACGCTAATGCTTTCCATACAATGAGAAGTTGCACTTTTGTTCAGTTTATTTAAAATAGTCCTGCATAAATGTATGTGTGAACAAGCAGCATGCTCTATATTCACTCCGTTTGTCCCCCACTGGCCTGCGCTGGCTGTGTAGTTCATCATTATCATTTACCTTTTTTTAATGTTCTTAACATTAAATGTCCTTGTTTGGCTGCTATTTTGGGCTTTGAGATACTGCAGAAGTTTTATACTTGGTTCAGCACCTTTGGTCTTGACGGCTCCCTGCTTAGTCAAAGTAGGATGTTCTAGTTAAAGGGGTCATCGGATGCCCATTTTCCACAAGTTGATATGATTCTTTAGGGTCAATGGTAGTGTAAAAACACCTTTTTTTACCCTGTCAAAAACAGCGCTTTTCAGAGCAAGCCGTTTTGTAGCATTTTCCTTTAAATGTTAATGAGCTCTGCTGACCCCGCCCTCTCTTCCGAGCCGCTCTCTGAGGGACTGTTTACTTTAGCCACATTCATCGTGAAACTTGCTAATTAGCTAATTATTAGGAAAGGTGATTTGCAAAGATTCATTCAAAAACCTTATACTCTCTTCTTCTGTAGGTGAAGCTGGATCACGAATGATTCGTGCGAACAGACGCATTTAGGTAGATCGGGGGCGCATTCCCTTCAGAAACAAACGTAATCCACTGCGTCTTCAGTGGCTCAGATGTCTGGACTAAATGACGACTGCTATGTTCATTATTACATCCAACAACAGAACACCTCAATCGCTTAGGAGTCATTCTTGTCTACATCTGCTCCGGCGGTGAAACAATGGCGGACTGATGACAGCTCACTCAGGCAGTGTTGCCAGATTGGACTGAAGATTTCCAGCTCAACTACAGCTTAAACCCCGCCCATTTCAAAAAATGTCATCTTTCAAAAGCGAGACCAGGGAAAATGCTCGCTCGACATGGGCATTGGAAACAGGCAGAACAAGAAGTCTTATGGCACCTTGCGCTAATTCCTGGAAACACTTGTGTCCTCTTGCATCTTTAAACGCTTCGACTTCCAGCCAAAACTTGTCAATGTCCTGATCATCAGAGAAGCCTGCTGATGCCACATTCCTCCATTGCGATTCTAATGTATCAGTCGGGCATGAGAAAAGATCAGCTGGCAAGTCCTTTACTCCAGGCCTATTTAAAGTGGACGTAACAGATTTTGGGCACAGGAGCTCCAGTTTGCACAACATTTCCACTGCTTTACAAGTTCTTTCAGAAAATCCATACAGCGCGATGCAATTCTCTCCTTCATGTCGGGGGCTAACCTGCTTTCCTCCAGTTGGTCCATAAATGTGGTACCCAGGTTCGCATCCAGAGGAGAGGAATATGCCAGAAGGTGTGAGGTCAAGTTCCTGGAGCTGCTTGTCATTACTCATGCGTAAGACACTTGGTTTGAGAACGCGTCTAGCAGTTGTCATGTACAGTCTTTCCAAGTCTCTAAACACACCGAGGGTGTCTCCGGTTTCCAACTGAAAGCATTTATTCACAGCTTTGATTTCCATCAGAACAGGCTGAAGAAAGTACATGTAAAGGAGATTAGTTTTGTCATTGTGCATCTCCTTTAAAAGCCGAGCAGTATAACTGCTCTGAACTTGAAGCCATTTTAAAGTGCAGTGTGAGGGCATCTTTTTGATCCACAATACGGTCAATGCAGTCAGCCATCACAAGCCAACGTGTATAGCTTGGACTTATTAATTTCAGAGGGCAGCCCCCGTTATTAATAGTCTCGTATATATTCTTGTAGTCATACTGCTGCTTTGCTGAATGAGCAAACCAGTTGTAGGTTTCTCTAACCATGTATTCTATGTTGCTCAGAAGAAGCTGCATTGCTTTATTTGCAACAATGTCATGTGAATGGCAAACACAACGAATAAGCTGTAGGTTTGGCTGCATTTGTTTAAGAAGGGTGAATACGGAATGGTGTTTTCCAACCATTACGCTGGCACCATCTGTGGCAATGCCCATCATGTTTTTGATCTGCAGGCCGTTCTGGGATATAAAGACAACAACAGTGTCTGATATGTCTTTAGCATCAGCATCTGTCAGCTCCACAAGTCCAAGATATGTACTTACAAACTTGTTGTGTTTTTTTGAGTGGTATTTCACACAAATACAGAGAAGTTTGTTCACGGATAATATGTCAGTGCTTTCATCGAGATACAGGGAATATGGCGACTCACCGACATCCTCCACAAGTTCTTCTCTGAAGTGTGGCGCGAGGACAGATTTGATAACGGCCGGTGCATTTGGAATGTTCCCATCTCGTTTTTCAAAATGTCTGACAAATCATCCACCGCATTTATTGAAGTGTGACAAACAATGTAGGCAGCGATTCTAATTTCACGCCGCTTTTGGTCATCCTTGATCAGACACTGCCCTGCTGTTCCCGCTGACACAGTAAAAGCTTTAACACTTGGAGCACAGTGCGATTTGTGTTTTTTGTGTTAGCATGTTCCTTTAAACCGTTTAACTGTGCTCTGATTTCTGATTGACCGTATTTACAAACTGCCTTTGACTCGTCGCCTACCACAGGTGAAATCCATGTTTTCAGAGACGGGTCGCTCTCTCATTCTTTTCAGTAGGACTTTCTATATTTACCCCACTTTGGCATGATGATGATAGAAACACTTACAGCTTTGCTAATAACTTTGTGATATTGGCTTAACGAGTGCAACGATTACAACAACCCACCAATCAAGATTGAAGTCTGATTGGACAGGACTCTCCTGAACTTTATTTGCCAAAATGAACCATATAATTTAAACGTCAACATTACATATTTTACTTTATTGTAAAGTTCGTTTGAATGGAAAATTTATAAAAATATCATGTGTATAGTCAAAAATAAAAACCCGCCAGTTGCATCAAAAACCAGCCCAAATTTTATCAACCTGCCCAATGCATTTTTTCCCGGTTAGACGTGACCAAAAGGAGCCCAATTGCAATCTGGTCTAAGATAAGACGCCAGTCCAGTCTGTTCTAAACTTACTGTCAATCAAACTGTCGTGGGAGGGGCCTGTTTTTGTGACGTCACACAGACAGGCATCTGAGATCAGCTCGATTTGAGAAAGGGGTAAAGATTTTAGTAGATTACAAAAAAAACACTGGGTGGATTTTTATCATTATAGGGTGGTTGTGTACACACACTGCCAACACACATTTCAGTTCAAACAACTTGTAAAAGTGCATGTAGCATTCTATGACCCCTTTAAATGAGCTATTCGGTTATGACGCAATTTGTAGGTCAAACTGGAAGGCTG